AGATCATATAACAAGCATAAAGTAGTTAAAAAAATTTTTGAAGTTTTTTTTTAGGTTTAGGAGAAAAATAGGATTTTTTCTAGAAAAATATGAAAAATTCACAGATTTCAATGAAAATTTTTAGTTTTTGATGATTTTTTTAGCGCTTGGTGAATTTTTTGATGAACTTTCTGGCATCAGTTGAATTTTCCTGTAAGCATCCCAAAATCCGGTTAAAGATTTGGCAAACTTGAATTTTTTGATGAACGTCTGGTGACTAACCCAGATTCCAGTGACTTTTTCTAGAATTTGGTGAAGATTCAACCAGAATTATTAGTTGTAGAGAGAGAGAGAGAAAAAAATAAGGCGGAAGAGAGAGAGAAGGAAGGAAAATATGAGGAAAAAATCAGAATCTGGGCTTTTATAGCCTTTTCAAAATGGCGTCATTTTGGCATTAAACTACCCCCAAGATTCGCGTATTTTTATTCGAGTGACCCGACCTAATTGTAACCCGATCCGTCGACCCGTGTCCTAGCTAAACCTTGCTGCTAAGTCGAGCCAAGCTGATTTTCCCCTAAGTTGCATTTCGAGCCATTGTTTATGCCTACAGGTGAGCCAAATTTCAGTTGCCAAGCCGAGCCATTTGGTTTTTTTTTATTTATTATATTTATTTTGTAATTTTTTTGCATAATTAAAATTAGAAAAAAATAAAAAATAAAAAAAATAAAATATTTTTTGAGAATAAGTATTAATTATTCAATGATGAAATTTATAGATATTTCAAATGGTAAATTTCTATAAAATTCCTAGGTGAAAAATTTTCTCTAAATTTGTCATAAATAGTGAAATAATTTAGATAAAGTTTCAATAACAATAATCAATATTTATTTTCAATCCAAAAAAATAAAAATAAAAAAGGGAAAAAATAAAATTTTGGTTGAAAATATATGATAATTATCCAATGATAAAATTCTTAGAAATTTCAAATGGTAAATTTTCTAAGAAATCTCTTAGTGAAAATTTTCTTTAAATTTGTTCTAAATGGTGGAAGAATTTAAATAAAATTTCAAGATAAATAATTGTCATATTATTTTCTTTCCAAAAAAAAAAGAAAAATAAAAAGAATTTCTAAATAGACCCAAATGGTGAAAAATTTAGAAATTCTGAAAGAGAGAATATTTCTAATTGGACTCAAATGGTGGAATAATTAGATATATTTTCAAAAAATAAAAATAAAAATAATTAAACATTTTTCTGACGATAGAGTCTCTTTAAGAAAACAAATGAGATTCATGAATACTTTCGAGGTGAGAAAATATTTTTGAGAATTCTACCAGATTGATTGAAGAATCTTAAGAATTATTTTCAATATTTCAACATAAAAATTTGAAACCATTAGAACCAAGACCCTAGGATGAATTTAAAATAAAATCATACCATCCTGTGGATAGGTATATGGGGGTGCTATAACCTTTCCTATATGTAACTGAACTCTCAAACCTTGTTCTGGTCAGTAGACCCGAATTTATTCTTTTAAGGACCCTTAATCAAGCTTAGGATCTCCTTAAAAGGATAATTCCTTAGGTAGCCAATCACACATAGATAAAAAAGATTGGTGGTGACTCTTTTTGTTAAGTCTAGCTATAAATTTATAGATCTATATGTTATGACAGTTTGGTGACTCTACTGGGGACAACCATAGAGAGTCAATCCATAAACTTTTAAATTTATCCTATTCTATGGTCTAATGGTTTTAAATTGTAATGATTTGTGTTATTTGTTTACTAACATTTTTTTTATTTTTTTCATCTTTTATTTTTGGGGCATGAAACCTATATGTTCCTTCACACATACTATCACATGTATTTACATTACATAAGCTCTATACCCGGGCTTTACTCTTTTTAGGAAGGAGTAAAATACCTACACTCTCGTGAGATGATAATCTCCGTAATGGCTAGCAAAATACTCCTACTCAAATTGAATCCCTTTCGTTGGTAGCCTGTGATGGGTGAAGATTAGACTGCTTTGCTAGTCTATGATAGATGATGATGTAAGGAACAATTTGAAAACTTTTAATGGTTAAATCACTTAACCAAGCATATAGTGTATATTTAAAAGGCCAACCTTAAGATAGAGCCCTTTTAACCCATTGATAGACCTAACCTAAAATTAAGACACAAAAGGAAACGATTAGTGTAATATATTGATTATCTAACCATCTTATGTGTTTGACTTTGTGTTTTTGCATCATTTTAATTAGTGCTTGCATTATTATATTATGCATCATTTTCATTGCCATATGTAACATTATGCATCTGCATCATTTTCATTTCATGCATGAAAAGGTACATTTCATGCATTAACATATCGTGCATAAAGCATAACATTTCTAATCATAATTATGGTATTCAAGGTTCAAGGATAGCTCTACCAACCAAGAATCTCACACAATCAACTCACTAATATAATACAAGAGCTCGAGCCAAACAAATGGAATAAGAAATTTTCAATTGTCTTGAGAGGATAAAGAAAGTTCAAGAGAAGCTGGAAGGGGAGTTGAGTAAGATTTTGAAGGCTTTGAATAAGCTAAACAAGGGAAAAGGAATAGAAAGAAATACTAGCCAACAAGCCCATCCATTACAAGAGGTGGATGACATTTTGTACCCTCCTAGTTTTGTTTCGCAGTAAGCCTAATCCACATAAGATTCACCACCACAGTAATTCACATATCTAGTAGGGTGTACATACCCTGGAATGTCATCAACTTCAAATATACCACAATACCAAAGTTATGTAAATCCTATCTTTATTGAGAAGGTAGTGAAACCAATACCAATCCCTAACTTGAACGATCTAGAGAAGAAATAAAAGTTGATGCCTGAAGAGAAAACGACTTTAGAAGCTAAACAGAAGATGAACTTGTTAGAGGAAAGGTTATGGGCCATAGAGGGCATTGGTTTTTTATGGGAACATATAGCTTTAATGCAATGATGATCTCATAATTATAATCTCATTATAGTTCATTTGCAAAGTTTTATTTATATTATGAGAATTTTACCATATAAACATCAACATTAAAAAATATCTGTAAACAAGCTCAATGATAAATAAATAAATAAAACCTTTATAATATATCAAATATCAAAGTACTATAAATATAACAATAAAAATGATTTAGCTTGAATGGCAAATATCAACAATCTCCCACTTATGCTAAAGCCAATCATTCATGTATCTAATACCATATTTAACTATATGCTTATCATATTTTTGTTGGGACATAGCTTTAGTAAGAGGATCAGCAATGTTATCCTTAGTAGGTACTCTTTCAATTTTAACATTACCTTTAAAAACAAAACCTTTAACGAGATTAGATTACCTTAATACATATTTGGATTTTTTATGAGACTTTGGTTCTTGGCTTGAGTGATTGCTCCATTGTTGTCACTATGTTGTTGAATTAACAATGCTAGGAACAACACTTAATTCAGTTATGAATTTCTTGATCTAAACAACCTCTTTTGCAACCTCAAAACCAAAGATATATTCTCTTTTTGCAAAAAAAAAGAAAGTCTTTGACTTTTTGTTAAAGGGTTAATAACAGCCATTGTCCCTAAATTTTGATCCAAATTTTACTTAGATTCTTAAAATTTAAAAAGTTTTAATAAAATCCTTAATTGTCTAAAGCTGTCTTATTTTGATTTTTTCGCCTATTAACCCATTTGAATTGATGACAAATGTTAATTGACACCACGTGATAATGTGAGCTAACATCTTACGTGGTAGATAGGAGATCAAATAGAATTTTCTCAAAGTTTAAGGGTTAAAGATGAAACTATCTAAAAATTTTATATATCTCATATATATTTTATAAATATTAAATTTAAAATTATATTTTTGTATTTTTTGTTGTAATATAATTTATTAGTTATATTTTTTGTTTTTAACAGAAAATAATTTTTTTAAAATTCAAAATTTTTTTAATTCAATATCATTTTAAAATCAAAAAATTATTTTATATTAAAAATATTATTTTTCTTATAAATAAAAATGTTATTTTCTATCCATAAAATATATATTTTAAAATATTAAATATATTTTATTTTCCTTTTTTAAATATATTTTATAAAAAATAAATAAAGGAAAAGATAAAAATAATTCAAGAAAAATTGATTTTTATATATTTCATTTATACTTTCTAAAATATTATAATTTAAAATATTCTTTAATTTTTATTATGATTTGATTTATCAATAAAATAATATTTTTTCTAGAAAATAGATTTTTAAAAAATTAAAATTAAATTAAAATTTTCAAAACAATTTTGTTAAAATTACATATCATTTTAAAAAATTAAGTAAAAATTTTATATCAATTTAAGAAATTAAATAAAAACTCTATATCTTGTTAAATATTATGTAAAAATTTTCAAATCATTTTCAAAAATAGATTTATTAATCTATTCAAAAATATAAAACTTTATGTTCATATAAAATAAAAATATAATTTAAAACATTTTAATTTTTTCTTTTATAAAAAGTATTTTATAAAATATATTTTTAAAAAAATAAAAGATATATAATATTCTAAAAAATAAATTTTTTGGATAAAATATTATATGTTTTATTATGACTTATGAATAAAATAACATTTTAAATATATATTTTTTAAAAAATGTATTAAGTTCTTAAAAAAGGAATTTGAAAGTTTTAACTTAATTTTAAGCTTTGAATATTTATTTTCTATTTAAAACAAAAATCAATCTAATAAGTTATATTATAACTAAAAATACGTAAATATAATTTTTTGTTTTATATTTTTAGAAGACATATATGAAATATATAAAATTTTAAGATAATTTTATTTTTAATCTTTAAATTTTGAGAGAATTTTATTTTGACTTCTTATTTACACATGAAATATTAGCTGACATCATCATGTTATGTCAATTGATAATTGCTATCAATTTACACAGTTCCATACATAGACGAATAAAAATAAGATAACTTTGAACAATTAAAGATCTGATTAAAATTTTTTAAAGTTTAAGGATCAAAGTAGAATATTGATCAAAGTTTAGGGATTATGGGTGCTATTAACCCTTTTTTAATAAAAATTAAATAAAATCAAATATGTATGGTGAGAAACACTGTTGAAATACCCAAGTAAAACCCTTTCCCATCTTCCGTCTCTCTCTCTACTCAGGTTTCATTCTGCAGCTGTTTTAATAATAAAAAAAATGAACAAGCCAGCCCCCCAAGACGACGAGCAGGGCGAGGTGTTCCTCGACGAATCCGATATAATCGACGAAGTTGATGTCGACGAAGAAGGTTTGCCCCCATTTCCCCCCTCTCACTCTCTCTTCAATTACGTTTCCCAGTATTATTCTCTTATTATAATTAGTTTTGCGTGGTCTTATTCAGATCTTCCTGATGCGGACGATGAAGATGATACTGAAAATATTGAGGAACCAGATGATTCCATTCACATATTCACCGGTCATACCGGTAATAACTTTTTGTCCTTCAGCTTCTTTTCTTCTTTTCTCGATGTGGGTGTCCAACAAACTCTACTCTCACACACATATTAAGCTCAAGCCTTAAAGTGAATAATTTTTTGTTGAGACCTCGGTTTATGTAGAGTTGAAGTTTTGTTTGAGGTCCAAGATCAGTTCCATGAAACAATCATTGATGTTTGTTGAGTTGTAATTTTCCATAGTATTTCTCTTGAAAGAAACGTGCTTAGCATTACCACCCCAAAACTAGTTTCTAAGTTTTTCTTCTTTTTTTTTTTTTTTTTTTTTTATCTTTTAAATCCTAAAAGTGTGCACATGGAGAAAAATGATTCTATCAATGTAGAAACGCGGATTAAATCTTTAAAAAGGGTTTTCTCCCACCGAATTATTGCATTTTTTGTTCTATCTTGATTTTCATTTTACCACAAGGAAGCACCCGGCTTTGCAAAGCAATAGGCATCTCTCTCTTCTGATATCAAATCGGAATCATTTTCCTTAAGTTTTTATTTCTCTGTTAAAGCTATGATTTACAATAAACATCCATCATTAAGAAGGTCACCTCTATTGGACAAAGAATTTAGAGTGACAGCGCTAAATTAATAGTGAATATAGATTCAAAACTCACGAGTTTTAGTGAATCTTAACATGTTGCATGTTTTATATGATGAGGATTTTTTTTTTTTTATCTTGATTTCTCCTTTCTCTTCACAGATGAACTTTATTCAGTTGCCTGTAGCCCAACAGATCCAGCATTAGTGGCAACTGGGGGTAGAGATGATAGGGGGTTCCTTTGGAAGATAGGTCATGCTGATTGGGCTTCCAAGCTCCAAGGTACGGCCATGATACAACATCAAGAGTGTTCATCCTCTTTATAACGCATAAGCTTTCCTCCTCATTGGTTCTGTTATGACCAAACTTGCTTTCACATTTGTCCCTCATTGCCAAAATGAAAACACACACACATACACACACATTTACCTTTGTATTCTTCATTTCTTATTCTTCTACTAGACCTTTTGTAAATGCTTGTGCAGGCCATACTGATTCAGTCTCTAGTTTAGCCTTTAGCTGTGATGGACAATTACTTGCATCTGGAGGTTTTGATGGACTTGTTAAATTATGGGATACATCAGGAAATCTCAAACGCACACTTGAGGGTCCAGGAGGTGGCATTGAGGTGAAACTTCATAATACTTGGATGTTAATCACTCTTATTATTATATGTTTTCATTGAAAATTAACAATGGGCTTGTTACCTGTTAGTGGGTTAGGTGGCACCCAAAAGGACATCTGATTTTGGCCGGATCTGAGGATTGTACTGTTTGGATGTGGAATGCTGATAATGGGCACTGTCTTAATGTATTCTCAGGCCATGGTGCCAGTGTGACTTGTGGTGATTTTACCCCTGATGGTACTAACTCTTCATTATCTCCTATTAGATAATTTTTTCTGCTTTTTCTTTTTTACATCTATCTTTCTGTTAACAGGAAATTTAATTAATATGTATGTCATTTACCTAGGCAAAACAATATGTACCGGTTCTGAAGATGCTACCTTGAGGATATGGAATCCAAGGAGTGGTGAAAGCATTCATGTTGTAAGAGGTATTCATCTAGAATTCAATTTGAAATGTCCTTATTGAGACACAACCTGAATAAGGTTACGACAACCCATAAACTTTGTTGATCTGAGATAAATCTATTGACCATATTTGATAGAAAGAAGTAAAGAAGCTATTATAGGATCAAGTAAAAGCTAAAAATGATTTGCAGTTGGACCACCAATATTTAGGCATTGGAATCTTCACTTGTCAAAGTCTATGGTTAGCCTGAAGTTCTGCAATATTGAATTTGTGACAGATGGCCATTATAGGATCCAAAACAGCTAGCTCTGTCACAGTTGACATGTTCCTCAGAAAGTGATTGTTTCACTTTCTACAAATTTTTGGACAAATAGGACTGTTGCCAGTGGTAACAATTTGCTTAATTCAAATTGTCACTTACACATGTTGGCATGCAATAAAAGCTTTTCTATATTTGCGTAGTTTTATCGTTACATATCCAGTTTATTAAAACATTTCTTTTCCGGTTTTTAATCACAACCTATAGGGCTAGCATGTTTTCGTTTTGTATGCTATAAAATCAGGTTAGAAGTTATTTATGAGCATCCCTTGTCTGTTGGGCTAGTTTCATTTAATTTGTAAAAAGAGTTAATATTATTTTATTTGCACTCCTTTTCATGTTTTTCTTTAAAATTGTTGGTAGTAATCTTTTTCTCTTCAGGTCATCCATATCATACTGAAGGACTGACATGCTTGTCTATAAGTTCCGATTCAACTTTTGCTGTTACTGGTTCAAAGGATGGTTCTGTTCACATTGTGAATATCACAACTGGGAAGGTATGACTTCTGATTTAACTTAAAAGAAAATAGACAGGCTAACATCTAATAAAGGTCATATTTTTTAATTTTCTTGAATTTGTTATTTAGCATCTTATTTTCTAGACAATTTCATTTTGCGTTGGATATATTTTTGCTTCCCCTTCTTCCCCCTGGTACAACAACCAAAAGTATGATTGAGTGATACTATATGATTTAATATTTCCTGACACTTAACTGTTTAATAAGGAATGAAGTTATGGTTCCATTTCTGGCACTGAATTTAAACTTTAACATTCTAATCGTTCCCCTATGTTTTCCATTTTAATTTCAGTTTCAAGATAGTTTTAAATAAAAATAAGCTGGTAACTTTTTCGTTCCATTAGTTATCTGCTTTGATGCATGAGTGCAAAAAGAAAAAAAAAATCCCTTTTTTCACCCTTTGCATGCGTAGAGTCATGATAGGGACCTTGTAGGATGTTGTTGTCTTGACCGTTAGGTTGACGTCAATGGTATTTTGTTGCATTTGTTTAATATGCTTGCAAATGTTGCCACCAACACAGGTTGTTAGTTCTTGGGCTTCTCCGACAAGTTCAACTGAAGGCGGTCCTGAGTCAATTGAATGTGTTTCGTTTGCACCAACGTATAATGCTCTCTCTCTCTCTCTCACTCTCACTCTCTCTGTCTCTGTGTGTGCATGCTTTGACAAGGGAATGTCTATTTGTGACATAAGTTTGAATTCAGATCATTAAAAATGCTGAGAACTGTTTTAGATCGTTGAAAAGATAAAAAATGCTGTTGATACTGTCCACTCTTAGAAGAAAAAGTTATCAAGTGGAAGGTCTCAAAAGCTAATCATCATTTATGTGCTGGCAAGTTAAGAAATGAGAAAGACCACCATTTTTTTTTTTTTTTTTGTGGGTAATGAGATTAAGTTTTCTGTTATGAATATGAAGTATGTTCTCCATATAAAAAGATTGATTGAAGAGAAAGTATACTTTATTATTAATAATTGATTAAGAACCAATATAAAATAATCACTAATAATTGATCAAGAAGTATCCAATATAAAAGAACTGCACTGCTTACTCTAAACTAAAAAAAAATATATGATGCTTACCACCATACTAGATGGTGCATATTTTAACCAATTTGAATGTATTTAGCCTTTCTTCACCAGAGATTTATTGTCTTAAGGATTTTGGAGAATGCTGTGATTTTATGACAATTACATTATCAATTCAGTTCTGATCAAAATGTCCTGAACCTGCTTGAAAAACAGAGAGAGAAAAACAAGTGGTTTGTTTTCTAACTTGAGAAATAATCACCTCATGACTGTAACTACACCTGACAAAGTTTGTCAGTGAGATAAAGGAACTTTTCTCAACATAGGAGAGCATGCAAATGTCACATGTGAAGTAATGAAAAAGTCTTGCAAGGGTGTCCTGTCTCGCCTGAGAGAAGATACCACATAAGCTACTCAAAATGGACACTCGCACCATGTAAAATTTTTCTATTTGTATGATTGATTTGACTTTTTATTTAACATGGCAGCTTCACTTGGGCGGTTTCTGGTGGCATGGATCGAAACCTTACCATTTGGGATCTACAAAACTCATCGCCACGATTCATATGTAGCCATGAGGTTAGTAGTTTTCTTTCAAAATGAAACACATTAATATTTTATGCAGTAATAAATGTTAAGCTTTAGTTTGCTTCATGGTTAAAGTTACTCATGATTAATTTGGTAAAGTTTTAAGGTTTTATGATCTGGTGAAACAAAAAGAGCTTCATCCTATTGCAGGAAGGAGTGACATGCTTGGCTTGGCTTGGAGTATCTAAATTCTTGGCTACAGGCTGTTGTGATGGGAGAATACGCATATGGAATTGTCTATCTGGGGAATGTGTGGAAACCTTTAAAGGGCACGAACATGCCATCCAATCTCTGTCTGTATCTTCTAATGTGGAGTTCCTTGTTTCTGTTTCCATGGACGGCACTGCACGAGTATTTGAAATCGGAAATTTCCATTAATAATAATATGCCTCCATGATCCTCATGTGGTTACAAAGTAGTGTAATTCATTTTTTCTTATTACAGTGAGAGGATTGTTATTAGTCTGTACATGAAAATACTTGCAGTTATGGAGTTCTTTTTCTTTCATTCATTTTTATTCTTGTTGTTTACTTGTATTGCTGTATGTTGTCTTTTAAATTTTAAGTGCAGGCCAACAGTAAACATTTAAAAAATATATTTAACCTAACTGTGGGCTTATGAATGAATCTTTTGCTTCAGACACTCGAGAAGTTTAATGAAATCTGAATTTAACAAGCAACCCTCACGGGATTCCATTTACTATGATGATTTTGTAATATTAAAATCTATATGCCTGTAATTGCACGGTTTATTTGTTGATAGAGTGTTTAATTTTTAGTTTTAATTGTTGGATTTAACTTTTAATAATTTTAAATAAAAATTTATACACTAGTAAAAACATTTTCTGGGTTTGTTATCTATATAATAATTGTGTAATACAAGATGAGAATTGTTCGATTGCTATTATTCATGCATATAATCTTCAAAAAAAAAAAAAAAAGAGGCTTGCATTCGTCCACGCACGTAGCATGTGTATGAAAATGTAGTTGATTCTGATGCCGAATCTAATGCTAGCCAGGATGTTTACCATGAGTGCGTGTTGTAAAGCTTAGGATTTGACCAGTCAAATAATGGAACCAAGAAGATCAATACCATTGTAACAAAGCATATGCGAAGAGGATGTATGAATATATGTATTACATTTGATCTTGAGATACAAGTATTTAGAAATATTTTTTATGGATAAAATTATGAAGTTCAAGAGGACTAAAGTGGATAATATTTTATTAATTAATGAAAACTATGAGAGGATATCATGGTCTTTTTAAAGAAGAACCATAAATTTCACATTAATAATATATTAGAGGTAATCTTAAAATATAAATATTTACATTATTTTTAATTTATAAAAATTTTTTATTGAAATAAAATTGTAAAGTTCAACAAATCGAAATGGACAATATAAACTGCAATAGTAGTTCATATATACATAAATATATATATATATATATTTCATTATCTTTATATGATTTAGAAAGTCTACTTCTGATTGAATCACAAGCTTTAAGAATTATTTTAATTCTAAAAAATGCAGAATCTCAAGAGTCGAGACCTATGAAAATGCTTATTATTCATTGTTGAATGTGATATCTATTCTTTCTTTCATCATCTTTAACATCAGCCTTAACAAAGGCTTTATTTAGGGTTTGAAGATGAGGAAGGCTCTTGCTCGACTGTCTGTTTTGGTTATCATTTTACTAACAGTGCCTTTAGGTCTGTCTCCTTATTTTTTATTATTGGGACTTGATTGAAGATGCTAACTAAAAACCATGCTGAATTCAGAGATGTTATTTCACCGGCCGCAAAGGGACAGCGAGGAAATAAGCTGGATACCTCAGTGCCTAAACTTGTTGGGTGGTCGTGGCTAATGCTAGAATACCTTTGGGTTCATCTCTTCCCATCTACATCCAAGTAATTTGATTTTAAGAAATGCACCATCTATAAAAAAATATAATCCAATCATTTCTAATTCTAATGTTTGCTTGGTAAAAAAGAAAAATGAAATACTATATCTCCCTTTTCTCTCCCTGTGATATTGCCAATTGGAAGGATTATTTCCTTCCACAAAACGAATCTGTTTAACCAATATACATACCGAAAAAGAATGTGTATCGTAAGTGTAGTTATTAGAACAAAGCAACATCAACATGCTGCTTTTTGTGCGGTTTTCTTTAGTCTTTTTCTCTGTTCCACTAGTTTGAATCAAATCACCTACAAAATTAAAAACCATGAAAGACGTATTTACTACTAATTCATTACTCATCATATAAAAACAACGCACGCGCAGATCAATGGACGAGAAATTAAAACAAAGCAATAAAAAGAAGACAGGACACTGCCTTGCACTATCGAAACCAGTACACAACCGGAAGTTTGCAGCACTTTTAACCGAGTACATAATTTTGAATCCAACTCGCCCCTACATGGGTTTCGTCGATTGCACTCTCTTTAACAGCTCTTCCTCGAACCAACCCCCCCGCCCACAAAAAATAAAAAAGTAATACGAGACCCAATAGCTTTTCTGCTCTATTTGCTGCAGAATCCCACGAGCAATCATGCTTTCATCGCAGCAGCTTTGGGTAAATGATATCATCTCCTCTTCGATGTAACTCTATCTTTGACTTAATCAACATTAATTTTGCTGGCCTTTTTTTTTCAATCAAAGAGGATGGTAAGGCACGTAGCCCAACAAGCCCGTTACATTGGTTACAACATCGTTGCACCTTGTTAGAAGGCTTAGCATCTGCTGTGAAATATCTATGCTTGGTGGTGGGATGGTTTGAGTACTAAGATTGTGAGAATTTCTAGGAGCTACTTCGGTAGGATGCAAATTATTAGCTGGGTCTTTCCCAAATTGGGGAATGGGGTAAATAGGAAATGGAGACGAAGATTGAGGAATGACCTTTTGAAAGTTCTTACTATTAAATTCCATTGCAACAGAAGAAGGTGCACCACCATCGGCAAAACTAGCATTGTTGTTGAAGTTGTTTCTATTACCAACCATCAATTGCTCTTCCCTACTAGTTTCCTCCCCACCCAACATGAATTTTACACGCGCTGTTCCTCTACCTCCATTACTACCCGTTGCCTGCACTGCCTCGTCAGTCATTGGCTTCTTCAAACAGGACTTCAGTTGGATAGTTGGTTGTGGAAGGAGCTGGTGAGCAAGCACCGATGCTGATCTTTCAACTACAAGATCCTTAACTCGTCCGCTTTCACTAGCAGTATCATCTCCTTGTGCCTTATCAGAATCTAGTGCTTCAGCAGTAGGAGCTTCCACACTTCGGAGATGGTATCTCACATTCACATTGCCAAATAGGGAATTAGTTGCATTAGCATATCTGTAAGCTGCCTGTGCATCAATCTTGTGTCTGAACACAACTCGACATGTTGAAGACTTCCAAAACACACGGATAGCTGACTGATCTAGTGAGCCAAAACGACCAAATCTTGCCTTCAGTTCTGCAACTGACGGAAGTGACACCTGAGGAGGGAACTTCATAACCAGTATTGTAGGCTCAACAGCCCTAGGTGGAGGCTCCAATTTCCTCGCAGAATCTGGTTTTTTGAGTGGTCTTGCTGGGGGCCCTGCAGTTGGCTGTTCTTTTCCCTCAACTTTCGGAGCTTCCACAGTCCTTAGATTGCCCTTCTTCTCTGCAGCTAATGATTTCAACTGACTAATTTTTTTCAACCTCTTAGCAGCAATTTCTTCTTGACGATCAGATGGGAGACGTTTCCGTCCAGCTTTTGTCAGATCATCAGGTCTCGCAAGGGGTCTAATTAGTTTTGAAGGAGCCGAGTCTCTAACATTCTCGTTAGGATAGTTGCCAGAGGCTCCAACCAAAGGAGGTTTAGTGGCACGAACTTCAATAGGCTCCATCTCAGATGGTGGTGGCAGAACCAAGCTTTTCTGATAAACAAGTGATCGATATCGCAAAAAAATTTGCCGAATAATTGTTGGGCTATTCCGTTCCAGACCATGAAAGGGATCAAGAGCCAGGGCATGCAAATCACTCAGTAATTGTGCAAGTTCAAGCCCAGAATTTCCCAAACCAATTGTTGTGGAAGCCCCAACAGAATTGAATGAGGAATGTGTAGGAGCAACATCTTTCTTCTGATGGTTCACCTCAGACTCTCCTCTAGGACCCAAACCAATCTGGCCAGATTTGGCCCCACCTTTTCCAAGGAGAAAGTGCTTCTTTGGTTTATCAGAGTTTGTTTCTGCGCCAACCTGTTTCTTCTTTTTCTTCTTTCTCTCCCCCAAAGCAGAGTTCTCCACACCTACATCTGCTGAGGGGCGTTTTTTCACTTTCTTCACTCCACCCTCAGCACTCATACCACCAGAGTGCTTTACATCAACTGGCAAAGGATGACCACCAGTGCGACCATCTCGAACTTGATCTAATCCCTGGCCTCCTTCAAGTTTTGCAATGGAACCCAGATCAGGTTTCTGAACTCCTTCATATCTGGACAATTTTCCGCCCTCCTCAGGTTTAAGGTCAAATAAAGCACCATCTTTCCACTGAAAAGATGCTGATGCACCGCCAATTTTATTCAAAGACGGCTTTCCATTGTGGGATGGAGTCTGGTTTACAGATACAACTTCATTGCCAGATAAATCTCCCCTTGAACTTGCACTATCCCTGCTCATAATGACAGTCTGTTCTTCATTTACTGGAATCTGGGACACAGGATCCCTCTTCTGCAACACATAATCTCCAGCTACAAATGTTGGTGATCCCTCTCTGTAAGTCGATTCCATTGATGAACTAGCTTGCGCTTGGTTAATTTGAAGGGGGGCTTGCAAGTCACTTGCTTCATCTCTTCGCTTGAATAGGTATCTGTCTTTCTTTGAAGGGTCCTTTACTTTCACGGGCTTCTTAGAACCCTTTCCACCTCCCAAGGCTTCTGCAATCACGAGTGGTCCACTCAAAGGAGCTGGAAATGGCAACAAAGAAGGCAACAATCTCATAAGAACAGAGACATGACAGTGTTCACAACTAAACCAAAATAGCCAAAAGGTAACCAAAAGGAATGCATGCAAATCTTATATAGAGGGACATTAAGACATCATCTATCCTTTCATTGTTGTGTAATACTCGAAAAACACGGTCAACAGATGAATAAACCATAAAGTATTGCAAACCTTATACATAGCTTTTTGGTTCTTCGGCAGTTGTTCATTAACAAGATAAAAACTGACAAAAGACCTTCATAGGTAGAGTGTAAAAAACAGACTTAAACATCAATCACAAGGCTAAAAATCCAAATACAAGTTGTTACAGTGAAAAGATCATAAAGTTGAGCAACATTTTACCATTCACAAGGAAGCCAGTGTCATTATTGTGTCCTAACATGACCCTTCCAATGAAGAGCAGTAGAGAACATTTCCAGAGAAGTCGATGTAAAAGAAGAAATATTTTGATAAAAATAATCTTTCTTACAGTTAAAAGACAGTGTCTGAGAGAGAAAAATTATTAAAGAAACTCATTTCATGATTGTATTAAGAAACATTTAAAGATATCATACTGACCCAAAATCTGCATTTATTGAATCTCTCTCCTAATGCAATACACTTGTTAGAAACTTACATCCTACACTAACCATGCATCATTTTTTGGGGCCACTAACCATAGATCATTCATCAAACAAAAATGTGGCATCAAAAGACATACTATAGAAATTCAAAAGTATGAATTAAACGCCAAGAAATTGAATGCAATAGGTTACCAGCTGTAACCATAGTTTGGCCTAAATTGTAACTGTTTTGGCCTAAATTTTCATGAGTGCAGCAGTACTACGTTCAAAAAACCACACAACATTTGAAATTTAATGTAACACGAAAGAAGACAGAAAAGATAGAAGAGAATTTCATGAAATCAAAACCTGAAACATTTTCCATGAATCAGCAATAAAGAGTAGACAAGTACCTCGAGGTGCCTGCTTAACAGGCTGATTGGATATGTCACCTGGAGCATTAGAAGGTCGTGCAGGCTGCACCCCAAATGCCTGTGCATATGTCTCATCAAACTCCTCAAATGCAGCCTTCCGAAAAGAAAAAACAGTAGCCTTATTCTTAAAAAACTCAATGCCTTGCAGATCACAAGCTCCAGGGGCTGATGCCAATTGCTTCACAAATGAAAGGGTCTCACTAGGCTTAAAACTATTTCTAGCATTCCTAATCTGATTAACTGAATAAACCCCATTTGGTTCATAATCAGGCACATCAACTGCAAAATACCCTTGGACATTTGTGGGCCGAAAATTATATGGGTTCCGACATTTACAAGCCAAACCCAGACCACACCTCCGACTAGCCTCATCCATTGCCTCTTCGACAGCCTTGACAAAAGTCCTTGAATTTGTCTGCTGCGATTTCTCCATAAAATAAAGATCAAAAGGGACAAGCTCAGCCGGGTCAAACCATCCATAACTGCTGTCCCCAAAGAAAGCAACCAACACATGACCCTCCCTCCTTGTGCGACGTACAGAAGGAGATGCTAATGCTTCATTAAATATATGGCCAGGCCACCAAGGATGAGATTTCACCTTTCCCCAAACCATATCACCCACTTCAAACCCATAACTCAATGCCCTTGACGTCCCTCCACCAATTCTATCATTGGCTACATAATCATCAAACTCAGATAACAACGACTTATAGTCAGAACCAGTATCCTTCTCCAAATCCTCCGCATTCTCTATTCTATCATTCTCATCAGCATTTACCATATCATTTTGTTCATCAACTCGATCATTTATATCAAAAACCCTAGATTTGCCGCCTATTCCTTTATCTACACTATCAGCATCACTCTCCCTAACCTCCTCAGATCTCTCATTCAATGAAACTCTAACATCTTTCGAATCGAGTTCCATTGAAGGAACCCTAGCATCTTCATTAGAGACTCCTAAGCTCAATCTATTCTCTTCACTTGACCTATCAATAGCTTCATTGATAGAAACCCTAGCTTTGTCTTCGATTTTATCCGATCTCTTATCGAATTCAGCATCGGTTTTCATAACAGATATCATTTTGTTAATAGCTAGAGAAAAATAAATAAACAAAGTCAAAGCTCTGGAGAGCTTAAATGAGATATATGTAACTGAAAAAACATACCTTTGTTAGAAGGATTACAAAAGGTCTGTTTGTTACCCTGGAAAGTGAGAGAAACTAGGGGGGGATTTTTTTAGGATAATTATAGTAGATACAAATAAAATAGTAAAGGAATAATAAACCCTAGAGACAGAGAAAGGCGTGTTTGAATGGAAAAAAATAATCTTGGGATTGTTCTCTATTCCTCTGGGGTTTTTTTTTTTTACCCTCTTAAAGTTCGGAGATTATTATCGTTCCTTGCTTCATATCCTAGGATTTTATAGGGCACATCTGCAGTGTACAAATGGCTCAGTGCACATCAATAATCGTACGTTGCCATGTTATGAGATTGAGCTAAATGATTTAAATAAATTCTTTATTAAAAATTTGAGGGAATAGGATTATTTTTTAAGGGTCAAATATTTATTTGCTCTATATACTATATATATTTTTTGTATGTTTAATACTTAAAAAAATAAAATTTATAATTAAATATTTAATTTTTATTTCGAAACCTAATTTAATACTTTTAACTAATATCTAATAAGATGTTAACAAATGTCAAAAGTTATATCACCAATTATCATGACAGCATTACAAAAAAAATTCAAATAAATAAAAAAAAAATTTAATAAAAAATCTAAAGTTTAAAATTCCTAAAAATTTAAAAAATTTTGAAAAAAGAATTTTAAAAAATCTTTAAAATTTCAAAAATTAAAAATTACCTAAACATCGAAAAAAAAAATAAATAAAAAAATCTAAAATTTTAAAAAAATTCTGAAAATTTTAAAAATGTTGAAAAAAGAATTTTTAAAAATCATAAAAATTAAAAAAATTAAAAATTACCTAAAAATCCAACAAATTCAAAAAATTTAAAAATTTAAAAAATCAAAAAATATAATTCTAATATGGTCAAATATAAAAAAATACAAAAATTAAAATCCCAAAAAATTCTAAAAAATAAGAATTTAACAAAAAAAACTTTAAAAATCTAGAAAATTAAAAATTCTAATAAACATTTGAAAATTTTAAAAATTCCAAAAAATCATGAAAATGAAAAAAAATCCTAAAATATTTAAAATATAAAAAAATAAAAAATCGAAAAAAATCTTAGAATTTAAAATTTTTGAAAATTCCAAATATTAAGTTTTTAATTTTTGGGAAGATTTAATTTTCAGTTTTTTATATTTTAGAATTTTAGAATTTTTTTTGTATTTGTGTGATCTTTTTGTTTTCGTTTTTTTTTTTTTGAATTTTTGTTATTTTTTATGGTTTAAAATTTTTCTTTTTTGTTTAAATTTTGGTATTAGGGTAAATTTTCAAACTTTTTTTGAATTTTTTGAAAATTTTTAGATTTTATAATTTTTCATATTTTTTTGGATATTTTAAATTTTCAGTTTTTTAAAGAAAATTTTATAATTTTTAAAATTTTTAGATATTTTAGGTTCAGAGATTTTTTTTACTTCTATGAAATCTTTTATTTTTTATTAAAATTTTTAGTCTTTTTATTTTTGTTGAATTTTCATTTTTTTAATTTTAATTTTTTAATTAATTTTTTAGATGTTTGAATTCTTCATTTTTGAATTTTTTATAATTTTTTAAAAATGTTTCAATCTTTTTTGAATTTTTAGGATTTTTTATTTTTTTTAAATTTTCTTTTAATGTTTGCATGGCAATTAATAATATGGTGTTAACCAATTTTTTTTATACGTATCAATATATTATTAAATATTCATGTTATATCAACAAGTTAACTGATAACATTAGTTTGAAATATTAAAATAGATGATAAAATGAAAGTTGAAGTATTTGTTGTAAATTTTATTTTTTAAGTATCAAACTGACAGAAAGTGTATCACTAATTATTTTTGCATTTAACTCTTTTTAAAATTAAAAAAATAACATTTTTAGAAAAAAATATTTTTTTATTTTTTGTTTCTTATTTAGAATATAAAATAAAACATTTTTATTTTTTATAATAAAAATAAAAAATAATTAAGATTCTTAATTCTTAATAAAATATTTTTTAATTTAGATAAAATATTTTATTTATATCCATAAATGACGAGAATTGCGTGAAAAAATTTTGTAAAATGATAAAACTATATATTAAATAAAAAAAGCAAAATAATAAATATGAAGTCCCAATCAAATAGAGTGATAAATTTTACCTTTATCACTTTTTAACCTAACAATTTTGTTAGAACCTCTTTGAAAACCCTTGTTGCAAATTGATTGATTTCTTAATAAAATAAAATCAAAAGGTAGGATATCATTTTTCGTAGTTATAGTATGGTTTGACTTTTAAATTTTAGTTGAACTCTTTAAGGTAATAGAGCAATAAGGGTTTTTTTTTTTTTTTTTTTCATATTTGTACATTTCCCATCATGAAAGAAAAGAATCACAGTAACATGCAAGCAACAATTGTCTCATGAAATTGATAATTGATCATTTTTTTAAAAGTGCTTAAAGCAATGTCCTTTCAAGCAATATCACTCTCTATGTTTTATTTACAAATTTGCTAGTATATAGGATGCATCTAGAAAATAATTGCAGTGGCTTGATGCGTTGTTGATATAAAAGACTGTTTTTAATTTTGAGTTTTATTTGGGATTTATAGAAATTTTGATTTGATGAGGTTTTTTACATTGTTGATATCAAGAAAGCAGAGATTATCAATGGTCAAAATGAAATACATTTTCATTTTAAGGAATATGAACCGAAAAGTATTAATTTTCTTAAGATTTTTTTGACAAAAATTATGATATGATTTCTTTAATAAGAAGCAATTAATTATTAATTTAAAAAATATGTTTAGTATAAATCACAATTGATAGTAATTTTTTATATTTTTCTTATTATTATTGTTAATATTATTTATAACACCTATATAAATAAGGTATTGGAATTGTTGTGTCGATGTGATGGTTTACAAACAACTTAAACATACATTATATGTATAAATTACACAATGGAATAAAATAAGCAATTAAAACTAAAACAACCATAAAATTATATTTGTGTTTGTGCACATAATTCAAAACTTTTAAACACGAATCTATTTGGAATCATATCTAAAATCAAGACATCGTAATCAATAGTTAAAACAACCGTTGGTTGTGTTGAAAAAAAAAAAATCAAGACTAAACCCATCAAAGCGTTCGGCTTTCAACGATGATCCACTCAGCAACTATTGTTGAAACTTTCACAACGAAAGATTCTAACCCGTGCTAAGAGGTGTTTCAATTAGAAACCAATCTTTTCTTGGCTATTATCGTAACGGTTTTATGTTCATCCGATGAATTTAAAAATAAAATAAAAATAAAATAAAATCGTCATCAATTTTTTTTGGTTATGTACGATTGATCACCTATTAAAATATATCATTTTAATAAAATCTTAAAATTTATTAAAAGGATAATTTTATGGTTTCCGTAATAATTTGAGTTCGGGAGTTGGTTACGTGTGAAAAAAGATTAACACCCCCACAGCGCCTATTTAAAACAGTACCAATTAACTACGTGTTATCATTTGATTTTGATAAAAAAAAATAGTCCTATTTTCGGTGTTTGAAAGATAATTTTCTTGATTTTTTATTTATTATTTTTATATTCAAATATTATTCGAGAAAAATAAATTAGAACATTTTTATTGAAATAATTCTTAAAATATTCTAGTACGTTGGTAACATTAGAAAAACTCTTTCTCACCTAGAGATTTCTTAGGCATCACTTCTCGTAATACCATAGAATCTCATCTTTAAATGTCCGAATTTACTTTTCGTAAAAATTGTGTCATGTATGCAATGCAAATAATAATATGTTAATGCACACATTTTTTTTAATTTTATTAATTGTTTTAATAATTTTTTATTTTTTTAATTTTGAAGAAAAAAAAATTTTTATTGTATTGAAGATTTTCTATAAATATTCCAATACGCTGGTAATATTTAAAAAAAAAATCTTTTCACCTAAGAATTTCTTAAAGTATCTCAACTCGGAATACTTTTAGAATCCCATCATTGGATAAAATTTCCTTTTTTTCTTGTTTATATTACTTATTCTTAATTTATTAATTAATTTTTATTTATTGTTAACAAAAAAAAATTTTATTGTATTAAAATTTTTTTATAAATACTCCAATACACTGATAGTATTTAAAAAAATTCTTTTCACCTAGAGATTTAATAGACATCACTACTCGAAATACCTTTAAATCCCATCATTGGATAAAATTTTCTTTTCTTATTTTTTTTATCAATTTTATATTATTAATTAATATTATAAAACAATAAAAAATTATTTTGGTAAATTTAAACATTTTTACATGTATAAATATTAATAATAATAATTAAAATAACAAAAATAATATATAAAAAAATTAAAAAAATAATTTTTTTTACCTGAACCGGATCGATCAATGTGGGTCCGGTCGGATCAGCGGCTCGGTTCGGTCTGATTATTCAGGGATGGTTTCGTCTGGAAGTTCAAGGACGATTCGTTCTGGGTCGGTTCGACGGTTCAGACGCAGTCTGGTTCGATCTGGTCCAATTCAGATGGACCGGTCAGGGGTTGAAAGAGAAACGGGTCGTCAGATAGGGTCGCGTATCCCAGGTCAGATCTGGGTAGACGTGCGGATCTTCCTAAGTCCAATACGACGTTGTTTTGGCCTTTAGGCCTCTATATATAACTCAAAAAAAAAATTCATTCTTTTTCTGTTTTAGAAAAAAAAAGAGGAAAGCTCTGGGGAGAGCTTCAGAGTTCTAGCAATCCGGTCTTCGAACCGTCGCGTCGACCGTCTCCTGAGTCACCGCTGGCGATCGTTGCCATTGGTTTTTAGTCATCGAAAAACATCAAAAATTTTTTGGAAGCTCTCTTCAACGTTCTCTTTCCATATCTGACTTTTTTTTCGTCAAAAATAGCTTCGATCGTCGTAGATCGGGGCTCAAAGTTTTTGGAGTTTCTATTTTCTTCTTTTTTTTTCTTTTGAAAACCCGCACTGATCGCTCTCTTTTTTGTTTCAGGAAAGCTCTAGGCGCTGGGGTTCCTCCCTACGGAGAAGACTGTTTGTTTTTATTTTTTTGGTAGAATGATTTTTTTTCTTTTTTTTTTGGGCCTTCCCGGTTGTTTTTTTAATCGATCCCCCTTTTGTTTGCAGATTACAAGCTATATTTATAAAGCTTGCTGGGATTCAAATCCCAGATCTTCTGAGATTCAATCCCATTTTTCAACTGAAAATTTACGTTTGCCATGCGTGTTATGCGGCTTGTT